AATTATAAATATTTACCGCTATTTAGTGATGTTTCTAAAGAATTTAAACACCCTGTTATTTGCAAATGAAGCAACCAACGTTGGACTAAGATTTATAGACCCTTCATAAATGTTTACAAGCCACGTGATCGACCAGCCCTAGCCCAACATTGAACAATTGAGTGAGATAATGACCAACCGTTATATCTACGCTCGAGATAATGCGATCGCTGATTATCGAATTATACATAATGTATATTGTAATTCATATTCTAAGAGTGTTTAATTCAAAATGAGCTCGGAAAGAGAAGACGAAGCATTTACCAGGGGTAGTATTGGAAGCGGCACAAAGTGCTGTTTCACAATTAATTCCCAAAAAATCATCGAGACAGTACGAGATTGCCTACAACGAATTCAAAGGGTGGTGTAGTTCGAAGAAAATTCAAAAAGTGTCCGAAACGGTATTACTGGCATATTTCGAACATAAAATTAATAAAATTAAACTTTCGACATTATGGTCAGTATATTCCATGTTAAAAAGTACACTGAATTCCAAAAAAAATGTAAATATCAGAAAATTTCCAAAACTAATACCATATTTGACAAGCAAACACTTATAAAAAAGTGTTGACTAAATGATTGGCGTCAACAAAAGAAGGAATGTGCCAAAAGAAATAGCAACTTATATCAATTTGCCTTATCCGGAAACTTATATAGACGTTCTTCCGCCACTCTATTAGCCGACGCAGGGGCCGATATTACCACTATTAAACAACATGGGGGGTGGCTCTCTAGTGCGGTAGCGGAGGCATATATGTATAGAAGATTCTATACAATATAAAATTTCAATCGCAAATAAATTGTTACCATCTTCAGCAGAGCCTAGGTACTTTACAATAACACAACGTGCGCAATAAACTTAAATCAATTACAGCAGCAGCCTCATTGAACACCCAGAAATAAAAGCTACGATAACTGACATCGTTGGATCTGGCATAAATTTAACTCGCTGCAATATCGGCACTTTCAATTTACATGTACCTAGTGCAAAATAAATTGTAATCATCCTGTTTATAATAGTTACTGTTTTGTATTGAAATGTTATATTACTTAAAACGTATATTGTTTAATTAATAGTCATAAATAAGTTTCGAAAAAAAGACAATTATTTTGGCATTTGTTTTATGTTCTAAAACGAATAAGACTTTGGCGTTCTAGAACAAAAAAGTAAAAGAGACTTACTTTGTCAACTGAAACTATAACGAAAGTGTCGACTTTTGATGACAGTTTTCGAAAAATCTAATTATTTGTTTTTTTATTACAAAAATTGCAATATGACATTCCCACAGCGTATGGTATTTCCTTGAATATTTCATTATTTAATCTTTATTTGCATTAATAATTATTATTACAGCAAAATTTTCTGATATCTACCCACTTTTTTTATGAAATCATTCCATTCTAAATCCAATATTAGACTACTTACTTAAAAAGTAGGTAATTATAATTTTTACTGTAGAAAGTTTCTAAATTGCTTGAACTCCCGTTAAAAAAAACATCTCTATATAAGTATGTATTTTATAAAATTTCAGTTATAAAGTACCTATATTAATAAATACTTACATAATTTCAGTAACTAGGTATATCAAATAAATATAAACTAACTTTCACCTAAGGATTTTACAATTTTTAACAACATTCATATTATCAATCATATTAGTATCCTAAACTAATCATAAAACAGTATTCAAATACCTGTATTTCCCTTCCTTTCACTATATAGGAATCACTTTTTTAAATACTGTTCCAAATAAGTAGTAAAGCCAAAATATAATTCTAACAAAAATGTTCCAAAGCAACCACTAAGAGTGATCATTTTGAGTATTAGTTAAGAAAACACACCATTAGTTAACCAAGCCTAATTTGTACCTAAAACACTGGTCTTATAAATGAAAACCAGAAAACCTATATCTATGTCATTGTGATTACTCTTAGTTTATTGAGAACAAATTCAACTTCAATCTCTAGGATTAGTAGACTTGTCGGTCCCAAAGTAGAATCAGTTAAAAATAAAATCAATTATTGATACTGGAATAATAAAATTAATATGTCCCTAATATCAATGAAATTCCTATTTGGGAACTAGAAGTTTTTTTATTATTGTAACAATCGAGGTAATAATCGTATAAAAATATAACGCTATAGTCTTAAGGCTACCTCTACTTCTGGGGAATTACCTACGAATAAATAAAATTGTATAGAAATGATTTGTTTTTTATTAGTCAACCAGATAATTCTTTACTGATAAAAAAGGTAATCAATAGATGAAAATAATTTAGCCTAAATTTAAGCCAAATCGAGAGGTTAGGCACTCACTAAGGTAAGTAGACTTACATAAAGTTTGGCTAGTGGTTTACCCCTCGATAACTAAGTTTAGATGTATTTTTTTTATCAAAATTAGGATCTTTTAGCGATATGCGTGTAGAATTTTGACATAGAAAGCTTAGTTGTATCAGAATTTATTACTCAATCTGCAGAAAAAGTCTTAATAAAATAAAAATTTTGTGTATTTAAAATACACAAAAATGCCACAAATAGGAAAACGAAGTTGTATATGTCTAAAGTGAGAAAAATATGTTTAATTAGTGCAGCAAAAATGGAAAAATATCAAAAATGCCACAAATAATTTCATTCAAAATAAACATAACAAGTTATTTATACAAATAAATCAAAATCATTAGATTGAACCGCCTAAGTATTAAGATTACAATTAAAATAAATAACTTTACACAAAAACATGGCAATTTTAAATTAGTTCGTTTGGGTAGTTTTTGAAAAAAGTGGACTTAATTTGTAAAATTTCTGAGGAAAAATATATTTTCCAAAAATAGTTTTAAAAAAAATTTACAATATTGTCAATACATTCATTTGAGTTACAGTTTATACAGTCGCCCCTTAATATACCAACCATTGTTTGACGAAAACAGGCAACCAAGAGATGGAGCTATTTTTGCTCATTTAATAGGGTAAACAAATTATAATTTTGAATATAGAAACTCGATTTGTATTTCAAACTCCGTTATTCTATTTTATACATTTTGTATTATGTCGCTCGGCATCAAGATTCTGTAGCTCAGATGTTTTAACATGTTATACATACTTTGGTATAGGAAAGCCAAAGTGACGATATTTATTTGAAATTGCATATAAAATCATGCCAGGTTAAAAGCGTGGATGCTGGCTGCAGATGTACTTCCACTCTATATACGAACTTCCGTCTTGAAATTCCCTTCACAGAATATGAAATTATTTTTAGGAAAGTTAGAGGAATTATCACTTTTGTGGATTTGGCTTTAAAACAGGACATTATCTCTTCCACAAATATGTTAGTGCCACTTTGACGTTTTTATTATATTTGCTTGCCATTCATTAAAATATTCCTATATTCCTATATTTTCGTAAATTTTTTCTCATGAGGAAAGTAAAATAATACAAGTTCTGATAAGTATTACATTGTTACAGTGCCGCACTGAACAAAATCTTTTTAACTTGCTACATCGCTGAAAATATTAAAAATAAATTGTTATTTACACTTCTTTCAAGGCAATTAAAAAATACTGCCAAAAAACAACATTCAAATATAAACATAACAGAAAAGTTCCTTATTAAAGTGATTTGAAATTAATATAAAAGATGTCGTACGGGTGTTCTTAAGAATAAAACTATCTAGATGTATTTATACTGATTTATGCTCGGATTTATGTGTACCTATTTAAGTTTCATGTATTTAATTATATTTAATCATGTTTTTGTTAATTTTTAATTACTTATATAAATAGACTTTTAAATACTTTTCTCAAATTTGTATAGGTACCTATTTAAAAGGTGTTCCACCCCTCAGGCCAAACTATACAGTATACTGCTACATTGTTGGCAAAAATGTTTCTTTCTGTTTTAGTATTGACAATTTTGAAGGCAACTTCGTTATTACAATAATTACAAGTGGGTATAGTTAGGTCTTCTTTTCCTAGCCAATTTTGCTCAACAATTTTATAAAACAACAGAAACCTTTATCTATGTAATTCAGTAAGTAATACTTCCTTAAACATATACTTATTTTTATCCTCAAATTATCTGACATGATGATAACACAACTGAACGTAGAAACCTATATAAACCAAGTTATGAATAATACATTTTGTTCCTCAATTTTTTCATTTAAAAGAAACATGGAATTATACGTTTTAATCAGAAAAGAAAATATTTTGAAAGTGTTACAGTATTTATACTAGGATCTTTACCAACAATTATATTAATTTCTTTCGAGTCATTGATTCACTTTGGACTAATAATATTGTTGAATATATTATACTGAAATATATAGTCTTACAAAAATAAAACAGAACTTACGGCTCTGCTTCGATACTCTTCAACTTGGCAACGTAGTTACTTGGTATATAACCTTCCTGTCTGGTCCGTTTACTCCTTGCAAGCCACCAGTCTCCCTGAGTATCATTTAAAATTTCCAAATGTTCACCCTTTCGGAAACTTAAATCTTCATCAGTTCTAGCATCGTAATCATACAAAGCAACAAATATTCTGGCACTAGGTTGTTCGGGTTCTGGGTTCCCCACAGTAATAGGGAGCCTAGGTACTTCAGGGGGTGTTGGGATAGGATTTGTCTGTAAAGTAGTGTCTTCTATAGGGCTAACACCTAGCCTTTCTCTATTTCTATCAATTCTATCAGTCGTTGAGGGGCTACTAAAACAATTGCCCATTTTTCAATTGTTTTTTAGCACTTCACTAGTCACCATGAACAAACATCACATAACACCTGAAAGTTTAATTTTCTACAGTTTGAATTTTAAAAAGAAATATTTCTAACAAAGTAAATAATACACATTTCCATCCGTCAACCTCGATTCACCGCACTGAATTTATCAGAGAAAGGCAAATTTTGTTTAGAAACTTTCCCTTGGAGTTTTTAATATTTTCCTGTTGGCAGCACCGCTTCCTGCCTGGTGACTATGACTTTTTAATTTGTCTTGTCATCTGTAAAGCGAATAAATGCAATTTATTGTTTTCTGTTAATTTTAATAATTCAAAAGAAACTCATCGTACCGCATATTTTTTAATAATACTGTGATTAGTTTATATAATTTTAAATAAGTACCATCATGCCGCAGTACAAGGGTAAGTTAACTTTTTCATTTTACGTTTTCTAACCTCTAAGTGATAACCAAAAATTTTTAATTTTTTTCTGCTTTTGTTTTAAATAACTAAATTGCAAACGTTATTAAATTTTTTTATCGGTTAGTTAAAGTTAAATGGGGAAAGGAATCATATCCAGACATTGAAGTAAATACAGATGAGCCTCCTTTGTTGTTTAAAGCACAGTTATTTGCTTTAACTGGAGTACAACCAGAAAGGCAGAAGGTTATGATCAAAGGAGTTACACTGAAGGATAACGACTGGGATAATTTTAAAATAAAGGATGTGCGTATTGATAAAATTGTATATTTTTCTTTATATGAATGTCTTTATTTAGGGGGTTACAATCCTTTTAATGGGCAGCAAAGAAGAGGATGTCCCAAAGGAACCAGTAGAAAAAACAGTCTTTGTAGAAGATATGAATGAGAGTGAATTAGCTACTGCGGTAAATATCTGTAAAATTAATTATTGTGTATGTATAATAAAACTTAATTTTAGTTGGATTTACCAGCCGGTTTAACAAACTTGGGGAACACTTGTTATATGAATGCTACGGTTCAGTGTTTAAAAGTCGTACCGGAACTAAGGGAAGCCTTACAGACTTTTCAAGGAGGTAATTATAAAAAAACTTTTTAAATCGTGATATTTATGAAAAAATATTTTTTTTTTAGGTGTTGCTCCAGCTAACAATGTAACTGCATCACAGTCGATTACTGCTGCCCTTAGGGACTTATATGCCAGTATGGACAAAGGGAATACAGTTCCTCCAATAGTCCTACTACAAGTGTTACACATGGCATTTCCTAGATTTGCTGAAAAAAATGAGCATGGAGGATTTTCACAGCAGGTAATAATTTCTTCGTATATAATAATTATGAAATTTGTACTGAAATTATTTCTCTAGTTTTAAATTTTAAATTATTCATACAGAATTTTATCATTGGTCTTATTCTTTAGGATGCCAATGAATGCTGGACAGAAATGGTGAGAATGCTGCAACAAAAACTTCCTGCGAAACTAAATGGTGATAGTCCCCAAGAACATTTCAAGTAAGAATACTCACCTTTACATTTTCATAAGATTTTCCTAGTATACAAAATAATATACATGGCTTTTCATATAACATTTGCATGTGGACTAAGGGGAATGTAACTAAATATGGGGTGTTTTGAAAAATGTTCCATAAAATCAGACGTGGGTAGATTAGTAGAAAAATAAAACAGAAATATATATATACAGGGTGTCCGGAAATTACGTGTACAAGGGAAGATCACAGACTTCTTGACTCAAAATCTGTAGATTTAAATTTACCTATTTCCAAAATTGCTCCGTTTAGCCGATAGGGGACGCCAAAATCCGATAAAAAATTTTTGTTTATTCTGAATGTCTTGAAAACAATTTTGACCATTTTTGGGTTACAGAGTTAGGTCTTTAATTGAATTTAGAATCATTTCCAATTCCTACAAATATTTAAAAAAGCAGATACCATACAAATATAACCACATATTTGTTTCATTCCCCTGTACAACTCCCAATTTTTTTTGTCACTAGCTGATTTTGTTTAGAATTTTTTTTTTGCACTAGCAAAATTTTGATCAGATGAGTAGTTTAGGCAGAAAAAATTAAAGTCTGCTGTATAATATTATTTTATTATTATCGTTACATTATTTTATGCTTTTGTGGTATTTCTATGATGAAACCTATCCTCAATTTTGTTTTGGCAGTTTGTTTATTCTTGTGGTTTTATTTGTTCTCTTTTATCTTTACTGAGAAGTAATGAGGTTATTGTTAAACACACATTAAATGATTTTGTTTTTGCACTTAAACAATTCAAATGTATTGAATTGAAATTTGATATACGTCATTTTCTTAAAATGCATCATCAGTGTTAGTTTTCCCATTGTTTAGTTTACATAAAAAATATTATAACGTCTTCTGTGATTTCGTGACCGTGGTTTGAAGACAATTGGCTAGTTTGAAGTCTACAAATCATGTGCTGTAAATTGATTGCGATTCGAAATCATATTGTATAAGAAGATACTAATGCTCTTGTTATCCAAAACCAACTGCGTTTCATTCCTAAAAAATTGTTTTTTTTATACTACATTTTGTTAAAATAGAAAAAAACCTTTTTTAGAATTCTCATAAATATTTTTATTCAAGAATTCATCAATTTGCAGTTTGGCAAAAACAAATTATGTAAAAAATTGAAGAAACTAGTTGCCTGTCCATTTTTATCGGAAAATTATGCAGATAAGAGAACTACTTTATTAGATATACATATAACATAATGTTAATAATAATAATTTTCAAAGTTCTGGGGATTTTAGAACGTATATTTATGATTTTTTTAAATTTTCATTAGAATAATCAGAGGTTTCAGCTCCTTAAAAAATTTATCAATATTATTTAGAAAACACTTGTATTTACAGACAGAGATTGGTCGACTTTGTCTCGGTTAATCGTACTTTACTCAAAAATAGTGTTTTTCCACCACTTTCAACATGAATACCTCTTTTGTGTAAAAATTAAATTTTACAATATGATATGCTATGTGACATCGTTGAGTGAATAAGTTCACGCAGTTTTGACATACAACACAGAAAGTGACAATTTGTGAATTCAAGATGTCTCTTTTTCCGCTTTAAAAAGAATTAAGCCTAAAATGACTACTGGTCTTGATGGTGTTCCCGCATTTCTGATAAGAGACTGTGCTCAGATTTTTTCTCATCTCTTAAAAAAATTATTCAACTCGTGCCTAACAAGTGTCGGTTACCTGATTTGTGGAAGCGTTCAAAAGTGTGTCCAATTTTTAAATTTCGTCCTATATCTATTATATGTAATTTTTGTAAAATTTTTGAAATATTACTTCATGACTATATTTATTATAACATCTCTAATGTGATAACACCTTGTCAGCATGGTTTTATGAAAGGACATTCTACTGTCACTAACTTGATCAGTGTTACACAATTTATAGCCGATTCTATAGACAACAATTTACAAACTGATGTCATATATATAGGGACTTCGGATTTTACTCCAGAAGCTTGATATGTTTGGCTTATCAGTGGCCTTAATGAATTTCTTCGAATCTTATTTAGACAACAGAAAACAGTATATAGTTTATAATGGGTATAAATCGATTGAGTATACCGCTACAGCAGCAGTTCCTCAAGGTTCCATTCTTGGACCTTTACTATTCATTATATTCATTAACGATTTAGTTAACAACTTAGATGTAAATTTTCTTCTTTATGCCGATGATGTGAAAATATACAGCTCAGTTCGCAACATTAATAACTGTATTCAGCTTCAACGAAACCTTCTTACTATAATATCTTGATGTAATAATAACAGGTTAATGTTAAATACAGAAAAATGTAATGTCATGTCTTTCTCCAACAAGTTCAATCACATTATGTTTAATTACAGCATTGATAATAATGTTTTGTCAAGACCGAAAACATTTTGAGACCTAGGCGTTGTATCTCATGAAAAACTATCATATAATAATCATATTGATATTGTTGTCTCCGAAGCTAATATGGATTTATAGTTTGCAACTGTCGTGATTTTTCAAGCTTAGATGTCATAAAGCTTCTTTACTTTAATTATGTTAGATCGAAACGAATATGTGTCTCCCGTACGGTCTCCGCACAGTGGTGTCCACATTAATAAACTGGAATCGATTCAGCGTCGATTTTTTAGATTTTTAGATTTTAAATCTGATGGCTACTATCCTCATATCGGATATCCGTATGAGGACCTTTTAAGTAGACATTCCTTTATTAACCTTGAAACTAGACGGAAATACTTTTCGCAGGTCTTTCTTTATAAAATTTTACGTAATTTGGCCGACTGCCAGGAATTTATAAACAAATTATCATTTTCTATGCCTAGACTTAGCTCTAGAGAAAACGGAACATTTTATTTACCAACTCCTCGTACTAATGTACTCAAACATTCACCACTTTATCTGCAACAACTGTAATAAAAATTCTGTAGATATTTTTAACTGCAGCCTTAACGACTTAAAAATAATTTATTTTTAATGTTTCAAATATGTAATTTTAATCTTCATTTATGTGTATTATTTAGTGTATAGATTTTATTTATTTCCTTAATTTTTTTATGGTCTGTATTTTTTTTTTGGTCCTTTTAATTTTGTGTGTAATTAGTGTATTTCTTTTATTATTGTCTGTTCTATAATTGGGTAGTACCTGTTGACCGGTGTATTAAATAAAATAAAATGTGTATACATATTTCAGATCTCTAATAGACCAATACTTTGGTGGTACTTTTGATGTTGAATTAAAATGTGTGGAAGCAGAAGATGAGCCTGTATCCAAAAATAAAGAGCAATTTCTACAATTAAGTTGTTTTATTTCTCAAGATGTTCGATATATGCATTCAGGGCTTAAGAATGTGAGTATTAAATTTGTGTACCGTCCCGCAATTACTTATTTGGTGGCGTGTTAAACGTTTTCATTTAGTTGGCAGAAATACCCGATTAAATAAAAACTAAGAAATTCGTAATTAGCGGTATTGGCGTGCGTATTTATTTAATTATATATTTTTTACAGAAAATGCAAGAACAGCTTACGAAAAAATCATCTACTCTAGATAGAGATGCTGTTTATATAAAAACTGTAAGTGGCGGTACAAAATTTTAATTCCATTGTCGATAAATTACTTTGTGATTTTAGAGTAAAATTAGCCGTCTACCGGCCTATTTGACGGTTCAGTTTGTTCGGTTCTATTATAAAGAGAAGGAATCGATAAATGCCAAAATTCTCAAGGACGTAAAGTTTCCTCTAGATTTCGACGCTTTCGATTTGTGTACCCCAGAGCTGCAGGAAAAGTTGGCACCAATGAGATCTAAATTTAAGGTTAGTCCTATACACTTTTTGCATACATTTATTAATTTCACATTTGTTTGTAGGAATGGGAAGACGAACAAGTAGAACTCGCGGCGAAAGATAAAAGTAAAAGTAAGGGAGACGTGAAATCAAAAGAAGACAAGAAATTTGCCCCGTACTGGTTTGAAAATGGTAAATATACATTAAAAATTGAACTTTTTATCTTATTTTTTTATTATTTTTAATTGAACCTCTATCCTCGAATCATGCTTCCAGACC